TTTATAACTGTTTGAAGCATAGATTTTCATGTATATTCATATTTCGCAAAATATTAACTTAACAAAAAAAAAAGTTAGACCGTTTTCATCACAATTAAACCAAAGAGTTTAAAAAAAATTGTCCCGACCAAAAAAAGTTGTTTTTTGCCATTTGTTTAAACATATAATTTAAATAATATCCGACTAAGTTATCGGCTGGCAACCTACATCGTTGTATTCAGCAGAATCTTTTAAACAAAATTAGGTACGTAAAAAAATTTAATCGAAAATTTTTCCCACTCACTGGCCCATATTACCTAGACGGATGACAGTATGAGGTAAAAAGTGTTATGACAAGCTAGTTAAGTATAAACTCAAGGAAAAATTAGAAACAAAGAATTTATTATAGGGGCGTCTCATTTTTGCTCAATAATTTTAATGTCTCAATGTTGCATCTCCATTCATTTTACGTTTTGTGGGGTTGTAGGGCTCCCAAATACGTATATTCAAAGGTAGTGCTATCACACTAAAAATCAGTAAAATCATTAAAAACTAGTTTGACACTTTGCTGCATTTAAGGTAGTAAATGCATTTATCATAACAGTTTACACAATGTTAGCAACACAGACAATCTTAATTTGCAATTATATTTAAAATTAATAGCAACAGGAATGTGCAGAAACGATTACTATACATATATGTATGAAAATTTAACTTTACCTAACCCGAATAACTATAGACAAAAAATGAGGTCGTGCGGTATGTACATAATGAGAAATGTACATAATAAGTTAAACATATTATCTTATTACGCGTTAAGATTAACATCATACATTTAACTAACATATGATCTAAAGTATTAAATTGATAATTAAAGTACAAGAATTTTATATTAAACGGAATTAATTTTTATCATTACAGATAACCTCTAATTAATGAGGAAAAATTGTTGCTGCTGGTCACGCCGTGGTCGGGAATCGAACCCGGGTTACTAGTAGACCAACGTCTTTTTTTTAACTTTTCAATGAAGCTAATTAAAATCATCATGACGTTTTCCAAACAAATATTCTGTGTTGCAACCTGTTTTGTATTTTTTTAATCTTTTTTCAAATGGTTTATTTTGGATCATTAGTTCGAAAAAAAAAATATTCCAAAAACAGTTAAAAATGTAAAGATTAGACTATTTTTGAATGGAGCAGTAATATTATTTTAATGATTCTATTTAAGCAACAAAAGAATTTTGTACGAATCTTATAATCAAATAGTAACTTCTAAAATTCATATTTTACATCATAAACCTTTTTTTTTTGTACCAAGACTCTCTTAAAACAATTCATCAGTTCTCAAAAATCAATTTGTTGCTGTTGTCACAATCTCGCCGGGAATCAAACCCGACACTTTTGACTTTTACTCATCATTAAGCTACGAGAGATGACAACAGAAACAACGACAAATTGTACTTATTAGGCCATAGATATCTAATATCTAATGAGTACGGTTTATCGTTGTTGCCGTTGTCATCCCTCGTAGCTTAGTGATCAGAGCATTGGTACGTAAAGCCAAAGGTCCCGGGTTCGATTCCCGGCGAGAGTGTGACAACAACAAGAAATTTTTCCCTCATAAATAGTGGGTAAAAAATGAATTTCCATATTAACCCATATTAAAAATGTCAGTGTTACATGATTTACCAAACGCCACCGTTCAATGCACATTTCTAGGCATTACAATCGGGGGGCCACGTCTCGTTGGTCCAGTTGTACCTAGCCTTTAGAGATAACCTCGAATTCCTAAGATTATTGTAAGATAAATAATATGCTCTGAAGATCTGACGGCATAAAGTCGTGTATTGTATTCTATCTATGATTAAGGGGTACATACAGTATGGGAAAGTAAGCAGTTTTATCAAAACGACTCGACTTGCAGTGGATAAAGGCAGGAAATACAAAAACTGTAAACATCCTAGCAACTTCAATGGGAAGGAACAAATGAGAAATGTGATAGAGATGATAGCAGGTACACGTGGCACCTGTCTTGCGTTTTTTAATGTAATTATAATATATGACACTTAACAATACTTGTATTCTCCACTACTCCCTTGTTTTATAATCTTTGAGAAAACCCGACAACTACGCCGAAAAACTGGCGCTTCTTCTTGGCCTTGATTTCACACCGAGTACAAAACTTTTTATGCAAAAACTTTCTAAACGATATTGATCCGGCGCGTCTCATTTTTTTCGTAATAAGCACCACAACCGATCATTTTATTTTCTAGATTTTGTTCGGAACTTTTTTTGCACAAAACCGGCTTTTGGACCTTCTCAATAACTTCCTAGTTATAGCGTTGATAAATCTGCCTGGAAGATTTTTATAGATATCGACTTTTCTAACCATTTTTCTGGCAGACGCCGAAAAATCAAACGCAACTCTGTGCCTTTCTTTGTAGCGCCTCACTCATTGGCTAAATTTTTATAACGTCTAATGTAAAGTACTAAAAATTCTGAAAAATCAAAGTCAACTGGGGTGGAAAGTTGGTTTAGTTTTTTCAAGGTAGGTTTTCACCTCAGTGGCTTTGATTTATTACAATCCAATAAATTATGGGAAAAATGGTACAGGCCTGACGCTGGAAGCTGGCGGAAATTTTAAAATGGTGTGGATGCGAGGTGGCAAAAGTAGGCAGTTTTAGGTATAAAGATTGCAGCCCTCATTCTTCAGTATTCCTATCAGGGGCGTTGAGTAAATATTTAAAAATAGGGATCAGTGAGCAAGTAATGGACATACAAACAGAAGAACTAATTATTGATGTTGGTGACAGTGATAGATTCGCATGATGACGGTGAATGTGAAAACTAACTATAAAACAAAAGCAATAGGTTAATTTTTTCTTTTTGATAAGTGATGTTTTTACATTATTTTCTAGTACGCTTCTGTCCTAATTGTATTAATACTATAATTTACGCCTACTGAAAGCTTATTTGTGTATCGGTTCCAAGTGATTTACCCAAATAAGTCATAAATGGGCAAGTACCTGCGCGACCGCTCGCCAGCTTCCTTCGTCAGACCTGTAGAACACTCTAAATAAGAAAAACCCCAAGCTCGAGGACTGAAGAAGGTAGCCTTGTTTTGTTACCGAAGAGTAGT